TTGTGTATATCTAGAGTTATAGGAATGTTTTATTTTCCAAACACATCAACATATTGTGACCATTTCCATCAATTTGCAGATTTTTTCACGCAGTAGTTTGCTATTTCTCTCTGCAGTAGACCAGTTGCCATCCAAGTCTATAGAACCCGGTCTGTCGTGCTATTTACCCATAGCTGTGGGGGGAGAAGAAGAGGATCCATACCTTTCCCAATGGTATTAGCACATAAGTGAATGTAATGGATTCAACTGGAATTCAAACTCAGCTCTCTGATTACTCAATCTGAGTTGCTATCCATTAGCATACCAATTCCATTGCCCAGTACAAGACTGTGTTAGGTGTCAAAACCAATGACCTTTATTGGACACACCACTACCTCCTAAAGTAAATGTCTTACATGCCACCTTTTGAAACAGAGTGTGATTAATAAACATTTATTAACTCATAATTTACAAGAATATTTAAGGAAAATTCAACAACACAAAAATTGTTATATATTGGAATGGAAATTGTGGATAAAATGTCTGTAGTTGTTTGTTCAAGTATATTGAATATTTCATATTTTTAGGGCATTGTTTTCAAGCATGAAATATATATATATATATAAAATTGTTAATGTAGTTTTAAGGTATGCCATAATATATGTGTAAAAGTGCTCAATACCAAGGATAAAGTCTATGTAAATCTAAAAATAGACACTGAGGTCAGCATCAATTTGCAACAGTCAATTTTATGCTTGAAAGCCATCTTCAGGTCATTTGTTGAATTATTAACAGATTTCATATTTATACTCTACATAATAAGTGCTAATGATAGATTTCAAACAAAATTCAAATTTGTATTATTGTAGCATCTGTTAATAACATAAAAACATTTAAATATTCATAAGCACTATATGACTAAATTAAAGTTATGAAATATATTTTTTATATATTTTTATAAACTAATCTTAGAAAATGAAATAAACTAAGCAAATTCACCAATGACCATATAGTGATTTTTCCAAGTGCAGCTTAGATGTGACACAAGGCCAAAAGTAGGGGGCAGCCAGTGAGGATTGAACTCAGTTATAATTGTTCTAGCAAGACAAGCTCACTAACAATTACACCGCCTCAAGGTGCCCTCACCAATGATCATATAATTCAGAAAGTTCGTGAGACTTAAACTATAATAATAATAATAATTTAATAAATAAATTTACCAGTTATTTATGTGTTCATTTGAAACTACTTAATTAATTGTGTGTTTATTTTATTTTACTTTATTATTTTATATTATCAAACTTATTTTATTCTAAAATCATGACAATATTTAATTATCCTATTTTTTATAATCTTTTGAAAAACATGCAGACAAATAAAATCTTTGAATATTATTATATTTATCATAATATGAATTTATTGAAGATTACTGAATATAACAGGGTCATAAGTAAAAAGGTGTCACCTTCCTAGTGAGCTTGTATAACTGATTGGTGGAGAAAGGTTTTGGAGAGATCAAAATTTATTGATTAATATTTACAAATGAATCAAGTGTGTTGACAATGAAGGAGGTATATATAGGTATATATAGGTTATGTTTCCATGAATTAAAATATTTGATCAAGATTTGTCCAAGTTTCACAGATAAAAGATAAATATTATTTTTTAATTTCTTAGATGAAACATTGTCAATTAATATTAATTTTTCAATTAGTATTTCTTTCATAATAATTCAATTATTTTTTTTTAGAATTTACAGAATATCATTCTACAACTGATAGGAAATTAAAAATATACACCAGGAAGACACAAACAGGATTTTATGTTATAAGGAAAAAAAGACAATGGCTCAAAATTTGTAATAATAGACAATGCTTTATCTAAGCAATAAAAAATAATATTAATTCTAATATTACTACTATAATAACATAAATAAAAAAATATGGGGATATAGCTGTATAGTAACATTTGAATAACTGCACCTGAATGTATTTCTAGCCTAAGTGATAAGGCAGTTGCTACATTTAGACATACTACACAAAGAAAAGATATGCAAATTTGAGTCACACTAGAGAATTTTTTTCTTTCGAATCTGTATTGCTAATGACAGGAGAATAAATATCTAAGAGTTGTGATAAAAACTTAAATTAAGACAACAGTAATTTTTATTTTTTTATTTTTTTTCTTTTCTTTCTTCTTTTTCTTCATATTTAATGTGTTATGCCCCTTCAAGCTCTTGACAGTCATAACTCTCCACAACTTCCTCTTTGTACCTCTTAGCAATGTTTGTTGTTTTATTATCCCTATCTATTAATTAGGTTAATCATTGCTTCCTTCTGTCCTTCTTGCTTTCAAAATGTCCTGTGAGTGTTAATTTTATCATACCTTCTTTTCTCATTATGTCTCAGAAATTTTAACTGTCTGTTTATGATTCTCAATAGGTGGCTTTTTTGTTTTTGTTTTCCTTAAAACTTTTTACTTGCTTGCGTACTCTGATCATAGGATTCTCAGAATTCTTCTTTAGAACCACGGCTCTGAAAAATAAACATTTTTATTCTAATTCCATGATTCTAGTTTTGTTGCGATAGACAAAGTAAAGATGCCTTTCAGAAGTCAAGCAAAGTGTTAAAAAACAGACACATTTTGTTAGAAACAAAGAAAAAAATACTGAATAGTTACATAATATCAGTCCCCCCTCTATGGTAGTGAATGCTGGACAAATGCAAAATGAATGCTCACAAATGAAAAAGAGATTTGAAGAAACAAACATTTTTCAACAGATCAATGCAGAGAATATCATGTACCAAAAAACAATGAACTTTTAGAGAAAATGGAAACAAAAAGGACACTTATACTTAACATCAGGAAGAGAGAGTTGAAATTTCTAGGGCACATAATGAGGAAAGAGGGCTTGGAAAATTTGATACTCACAGGACAGATTGAAGGCAAAGAGGGATAGAGGAAAACAACACATAACCTACCTAGCAAGTTTTAGAGAAAATAGAAACAAAAAGGACACTTATACTTAGCATCAGGAAGAGAGAGTTGAAATTTCTAGGGCACATAATGAGGAAAGAAAGCTTGGAAAACTTGATACTCACAGGACAGATTGAAGATAACAGGGACAGAGGAAAACAAGGCATAACCTACCTAGAGAGCTTGCATAAATGGTTGGTGGAGAAAGGTTTAGGAGAGATAAAGATTTATTAAGAGCTACAAAGGAAAAAATATTGTGGAGAGTCATGATTGCCAACATCTTGAACAGATATGGCATAAAGAAGACAAAGAAGTTTTATAAAAAAAAGGCTATGAAATATTCTAAGAACTGAAGCAAGGGTTTTCTTTTTCTTTTTGAAAGATATCTGTTCATAAATCTTCCTTGTATATTGATACATAAATCTATGTCTGTATTAGTATAGATTTGATGATATAAAGCTTTATACTGAAACCAGGATAGATTTAAATCGTTTTACCTTAATAGACTCTGACTGAATATTCTTCAAATGCCAAATAATATATTGAAAATGTATCTGATTAAACATCAGGTTTCATTTAGATTAAATAAACACAAAAATAACTACACAAAAAGAAAATCAGATAAACTTCGGAGCAAAATACAGTTATTTGTTTTGACAATGGAAATGTTTTTTACAAGTAAATCATTGTTTTTCTGTAAGATTTGAGTTATTCTTAGAACATACAAGAATTTAACTTTTCAGACTACCTTGTCTTTTTGAAATGGTAATTAATTTTGACATTAATCTTTTTAATCATTACATTTTAATTCATCTGATCTAATTTCCACATCTTTGTTGCTTTTTATAACAGCACTTTGGTAAAGAGTGCATCAACTAAAATTGCATTAGTAAAAAACAATAAAAAATCACTGCAATATAAATTAAAAACTCTTAAAAAAAAACTCCAACAGACTTTGCTATATGTTACCTACACATTATGAATTTAAGTGCAGGACTATATTGGCAATCAGGTCTTATCGTTTTACAGTTGAGTTGACTAGATGTAATCATAGTTTCTATGCTAACATTTTCTTTTTTCACTCTCTCCCGATTTCTTGTTTTCCATCCAACTTTGATTTTCAAAAATTTAATGGCAACATCAATTTTTATCTACTGTCTTTTTGATTCATCTTCTTTTATTGTTCTCTATCTTCAATAATGTTTTTCTTTTTCACATTCTTTCACACTCAGTCACCCCCTTGTGCTTTATTGCCTTGCTTAGGGTGAAATAATTGAAAAATAAAAATAATAAATAAAAGCTAAAAATTTAGTCTGCATGAATCAAAATAAAATGATTATAAGAATATATATTTCTCTGTTACATTCCCTTTAAGATAAATGCTCTTGGGAAAAGTATGAATTCTTCTGTTCACCCCTCCAGGAAAAGGTTAAATAACAGGGTACACTGAACCAATTAACCTTGGTTGGCATTCAGTCTATGAGAAGAAAAACTCTGAATTCAGAACAGTGGACAAAGCAATGACAAGCAACTCTTTCACAAGTCATGACAATTTGAAGTTTATAAAAAAGGAAGCTGTGAAGTGCCATGATTGTCTACATTCTGAAGGGAAATGCCTTTTAAAAATAGTATATATAGACAATGATTTTGTAATTCTTATTGCTTACAACTGACATTACCACTACTTCAGCACCCTTTCCTTTTGCTTAATTTATTCCTGTACTACAAAATGAGTACTTCTGTCAGTCAGAAAATAAATTGTTATGACATGTTCAATTTTATAATTCTTTCCATACAATTTATTTATGTCAATATGGACCCACTATGTTACATACAGAAAATCAGTAGAACGGTATTTTCTGTGGTCAGAAATAAAGAAAAACTTTACTAATAGAATAGAATGATCATATATATATATATATATATATATATATATAATTTCGAAATAACCAGCAATGTATGTATAATATAAAAACGGTCTATAAGTTAAATAGTTTACTTTATTTCAAGGTAACAAGTGGAAAGGATTTTATTTAATAGAAGGCTTACGGCCATATCAAATTAAAACACCTCTTCCTGTAAGATCACTGAAGTTAAGCAATGTCAGGCTTGGTCAGTATCTAGTTGGGTGACTGCTTGTGAATGCCAAATACTGTTAGCTTGGATGTGTTGGTGGTTCAATGGATAATGGTTCAGAATTATTAGTTCCAGTTGGGTCTGATATATTCAAAACATGCAAATAAACTTGGGAAAGGTATGAATCTGCCTCTTCTCCTCCAGGCTATGGGTTAATTAGTAAGACTTTTATCCCTAAATCATTAATCTGTTAATTCCCCTTTGAAAGTTCTTCACTGCCTTAACCAAGTATTGAACTCACACTCTTTGGGTCCTGTCACTCGATCTAACCAATGCCTTTATCCACTGTGCCATGTATCCTTGTAATAAATATGGCGACAAATATGAAGACAATAGTCTGAATAATGCAAATAGTGTACATAATATCTCATCTCAGAAATATAGACAGATACTGAAGTTATATTTTTTATAAAACTTTTTGCATCATATTTTCTTTTGTATAAGTACATCTTTTTAGAAATTTTTACTTAGCTTCAAAAACCTCTTATTTAAAACTGTAATATTGCAAAACCACTCAGCTCAATAGATAATGAAACACAAAGTATGCAGGTGTTTATAACAATTGTTTTTTGTAAAAGGTACTTGATATGTCGGCAATAGTTGTTCTTTTGGAATCAACATAATTGAACATCTTTTGTCTCAAAGACCAGAAATTCATTGAAATAGATTAAAAAATTAATAAAGGGAATACACAAGATCTGCCATCTTTTGATCATATTAATGTTACCACAAAAGAGATTTCCCCTTTTGAAACACAATTTAAGAGAAGAAACACACAGTGGCTAAACCTCTGGTTCACTTCTATTCTTTAATATTGTGAAAAATTAAGTATTTTAGCGAAATATATATGACATGGAGATTTTGGTGGATAATATGGTACAACTTTTCAAACAAAATTTGCATAGGGATGGCTGGGTCATATTATACTCAAGGATGTAATTTATTCTTTGATTTTAGCTTCAGAAACATTGGGTTGTATTATGCTCATGTTGTATTATATACAAGAAAATATTTTATTTTCTTGTATATAATATGACTTATATATGAACAGTTTTCAGCATTAATTATAGAATTTATGAAGATGTTCTTATTTATTATGTGGAATAAATAGTAATTTATTAAATGTTGAGAAATCCCTAAATTTAAATCAGAACAAAAGTTAACACTATTCAATCTATAGTAAGATATCTGGAAAATTATATTCAGTCAGTCAGTTATGTGCCATGCGTGATACATGTGTAGGTGATCATGTATCTTTTGATATATGACTGACGAGGCAGATTTTTTCCCATAGTAGGTTGCCATTTCTTTCTGTGGTAGACTAACTGTCATCCAAGGCTATAGAACCCAGTCTGTTCTGCTATTTACCCATAGTTGAATAGAGAAGAAAGAGATTCATACCTTTCCTAAGGCTATTAGCATGTAAGTGCATGTAATGGATTCGATTGGAATTCAAACTCAGCTTTCCGATTCCTCAATCCAAGCTGCTATCCATTACTCCACCATGCCTCCAAATTATATTTAAAATGTATAATAGTTAATTATTGATAGATTTTAGGTCATATTTTTATGTATGGTCGAAACGTTTTTTTAATCTTTGTTTAGGGTTGTACTTCAATATTTTTATTAATGTGAATACCACGAATCTCTTTCTAAATGAAATCATTTCAGTTTCAAATCCACTGCCCATGGTTTAATGGGTGAGTGTCTATAAATGCAAGTGAAGCTGATATAACAATGATCAGAAAGTTGAATGCCATTAGTAAGCAGCTGTAATGCACTAGAAACTACCGTGAACTCATTGATGATTGACTGGGGTATTTAGTCTCTTTTCAATGATCAAATATGTACCCCTTTCTCTATCTTTTTTTTATTTATTTTTATTATATTATTTCTTTTCTTCTATTATATGCAACAACAGAAAGAATAGAGAATGAGGTAAAATGAAAACTGTATCTTCTGCCAGGGAAAACAAGCTGCTCAACTGGGAAAAACAGATTTTTAGTACATTCCTCCCTATGTGTGTGTGTGTGTGTGTGTGTGTGTGTGTGTGTGTCCAAGATCTTCTAAGATACGAGGAGGTGCTGAAAATTTGTCAGCATAACCCTCTCTTCTCATCCAGTATTTAATAACCAAACATTAGAATACTAATTTTTGGAAGTGGATTGATTCAATAACATTTCAGCACACACCCATGTATTGAATACTAATTGATTCATTTTTTTATGGCTTATCAACCCTTTGCAGGTTATTTAAAGCCAGAAAATATTTTTAGAGTGTAAAAATTTTTTTGTGATAATAATGATTTAGAGATACAAATCTTACTAATTAACCCATAGCTAAGGTGAGAAGAGATGGGCTTATACTTTTCCCAAGTGTACTTGCATGTATGTGAATATAACACACCCCATCATTGGAACTTGACTCTTTAATTAAAAATTCTTAGCCATTATCCATTACATCACCCACACATCCAAGCTTACAACATCTGGTATTTTCAAGTGGTCACCCATCTAGGTACTGACCAGGCTCAGGATTGCTTAACTTCAGTGTTCTTAGATGAACCGGTGTTTCATCTTGATGTGACAATAAGTTCTAAATTTAGTCTGTCCTTAAAACAGTGCAAATTTTCTTTATGTCCTTCTCACTCCTATACCAATTCATCTCTCACACTCACTTTCTCATAAATGTATTTGTTATAGTGATTTACTTAGATGTGGTACAAGGCAGAAAGTATGGAGCACTCAGTGACAATCAAACTCACTACTCTGTTAGAACTGATCAAGTAAGACAAGCTTGCTAACCATTATACTCCATTGAAAAGCCCAAAATGTATTTGTTATAAACACCTTTGGCACATATCCATAGGCATAGATCTGTCTATGAGAAGAAGACAATGAATAATGAGAGAAGCTCACTAATCAGAGTATGTATTGCCTTAATTATGATGAGTGAAATAAAAAATTTATAAGTCTACCATTTGTACATGCATTGAATATTGCTGCGACATCTGGCTTAGTGCTTCTGCTATATATCTACAGATTCTTGACAAAATCCAATGAAGACTATGCAATGTTATTCGTCTTCATTTGGCATCTTGGCTGCAGTTTCCTACTACTGTAATGTAGATTCCCTGTGCTTTTTCTGTAAATATTTTCATGGTGACTGTTCTAATGAGCTTTCCTCTTTCGGTACCTTGACTTTATGAATTTAAACTTAGTACAAAATTGACAGCAAGTTATCCTCATTTTACAGTTAAAATTGTCAGATGAATGTTCTGTGCTAACAATTTCTCCTCTTGTACTTCTCACTTGTGGAACTCATTTCCAGCTTCTTACTTTTCAGTCAACTTTGATCTTCAAAAATTTCAAAGCAATATCAATCATTATCATTTAATTCTTGTTTTTTTTTATTGATTTTTTTGTTCTCTTTCTGTAATGATGATTTTTCTCATAATCTTTCATTCACAGTAATTCCTTGCATCTTAAGGGTTTTATCACTTTGCTTGAAGTGAAATGTTTAAAAAGTCCCAAGACATTAATCTTGAAGCTATCAAGTACAGTTAAAGGGATTCTTCATCATCTCTCAAATGCCAGAAGTGGCTGATCATGGTTCTTCACAACATCCTGTCGTTTTTTGCCCTTAACAATATTTTACAGTTTTATCCCACTCCCAGTCCTGAATCAGTTTACACGAGCTTGTTAAGCAGGTTATACATTTCCCTTTGTTCATCTTACTTACAGTATGTCCTGTCAAATTCTTTAAACCCTTTTTCATTATATATTCCAAAAAATTTTATTTGCCTTTTTCTAATTCAAAGTGGAAGTATGGGTGATGTAATGGATTGAATGAAAAATTAGAGAGCTAAGTTCGAATTCTAGTTCTTTATATTCATTTACTTAAAAATAGATTTGGGAAAGGTATGAATTTGTTTGTTTTTGTTTTGTTTTACGTTATATCAACCTCAATGGGTCATTTAAACCGACAACTTTTTTTTTTCCTGGTAATATTTGTGTTTTGTCAAAAATCTATTTCTGTCAATATTTTTTCCTCAAAAACGTATAGCTGGTAATATTATTTTTTCAAAAATGTATAGCTGGTAATAATATTTTTTCAAAAACGTATAGCTGGTAATATTGTTTTTTCAAAAAACGTATAGTTGGTAATATTATTTTTTCAAAAACGTACAGCTGGCAACATTATTTTTTCAAAAACATATTATCAGAGGCCTTGCTGTTGGACGTAGTTTATCGTCTTACCCAGGACGCGGATGTAGTTTATCGTCATACCCAGGACATAGGAAAGGTATGAATCCATCTGAACTGTCGATTAAATAGTAGAACTTGCATCTGGAAAAATCATGGTTATTCACAAAACATTGTTGCTGCAATATTCATTTTCAAGAAAACAATTCTTCCCTACAATCCAAGATATGCTTTAGCTTTAAATAACAAAGAGTTGATAAACCTTAAAAAAATTAATAAATCAATCAAATTCTATTTTTTTCTCATTTTACTTAAACCTTCCTTGTGAATCACATGTTCTATCTATGGTATTCTCTGGTTTATTCTGTAGAATCAGATCTCTGTTGCCTCAAGTTTCCTCTTCATTGGCATGGAAATTGTCCAGTATTCACTTCCATATAAGAAGATACTCGTAGACATTGCATAGTAGTTCAGCTTTCATTTCCTTATTACAAACGAAATATTAAAATATATATTTAAATATTTTATCAAGAAGATTAAGTATTTGATAAATCACAATTAAAACTTCAAAAACCATTAGAATCATAAGCGCATCACATGTTCTGCATTCGGACCAACATATAACGATGGGTCCCATCTCTCTTCAGGTTGGTTTTGGATTCAGTGTTGTATTTCTCCGACATTTGTTGCCTTACTATTCAACAAGCTGTCCACCTTTTTAACCCATAGCTGGAGGAATATGTATTCATGCTTTTTCCAACGGCATAAATGTGAATTGAAAGAGAATCTGTGATAATTTGTACTCAGAACGGCAATTGCATTTTCTCGTCAATAACCATTGTGCTGAATTTGAATTTTGGTCGAATCGCTTTTGCTTATTTCATGTTAAAGCATTTGATAAAAAATACATCCATCCATCTTCCTCCAGCCATGGGTTCAATAGCAGGACAAACTGGACTCTCTTTCTGCTATGGCAGCTGGTATAGCCTTCTATACCAGCTGCCACGTGGAATTCAAATTATGTTAACTGGTCCGAGGATTCGAATTGAACTCGCTCCGCAAGTCTGTGTTCATTTTTAGTCGTTTACGTCGCTGTAATTTGATAAATAAAGGTATAATTCATTTATTGTTGACTATTTCTAATAGTTATGAGTAAATAATTCATGAGAATAAGCAAACATTTTGTATATACATTTGAAAGTCTTTAATGTTCCAAGTTTTGTTCGGTCAACTAAACTTATTATTCGTGAAACTAAACTTATAGCCCGGCCAACTAAACTTATTGACCGGTCACCTAAATTTATTATCCAGACAACTAAAGTTATTGATAAGCTTGTTGTTCGGCTAACTAAACTTACTGTTTGAGCAACTAAACTTATTGTTGCGCCAACTGAAATTATTGTTCGGCCAAATAAACTTATTGTTGGACCAACTGAACTTATTGTTCGACCAAATGAACTTATTGTTGGGCCAACTGAAATTATTGTTCGACCAAATAAACTTATTGTTGGGTCAACTGAACTTATTGTTCGACCAAATAAACTTATTGTTGGGCCAACTGAAATTATTGTTCGGCCAAATAAACTTATTGTTGGGCCAACTGAACTTATTGTTCGACCAAATAAACTTATTGTTGGGCCAACTGAACTTATTGTTCGGCCAACTGAAATTATTGTTTTTAATTTGTTTACCACTTCGCTTAATTTTATTTATTTTAAAGCCGTCTACAACAGTATAATTAACAAGTAAAAAGTGTGGTACTTATGTTTTAGGAAAAAATGAGAACTGAAAATTTCATTCATCATTTTTTGTAAATAAACCAGTTGCTTAATTATAAATTATACACCTGAATAAATTTGCAGAATTTATCAACGGAAAGGTTGTGGAAATAACATCAACAACACAATGATAGAATTTAATTGTCCGTACCAAACAGAAAAGCAATTTCTGGTAATCATTGTAACAACTTGCGTAAGATTATGAAAGGAACAGTCGCGAAACTTTGAAAGCTCGCATGATAAATTTCTTGCCTGAAACGTTCAGACGAAAAAAAAAACAATTTGGTGGAAAGTGAAACATATTGGTATTGTTTCTTTTAATGGAAATACGCAATAAGATGATGAAGAGTTTCAGCTACTCAGGAAAGGTGCTGAAGCAATCAGAAATCAGCGAATTGAAATGAGTTAAGTTCACACTCGCATCAGCCTCTCAAAATGGCTTTAACTCAAAAGATTGATATCTTTGCAAAGCAACTACAAGATAGATTATCACAAAGTTAAATTGTCCTTGGCAAAAAAATAAATAGTTTTTAGCGGGTTGTCTGCTGGGAACAAAACCAAAAAAAAAAAAGAGAGAGAGAGAGAAAGAAAAAGGAAATTGTTGAAGTAACTGCGGAACTAATTATCTCAGTTGAGGAAGATGAAATCTCAGAGGACGATTATTTTTGGTATCATGAAGTTGAGTTTTGGAAAATAGCTGTAGACACTACAAGACATATATGACACTAGTGCTGATCAGACATTTGTTTCGCGAGTATGCATTAAAAAAATCTGAAACGCGAAAAAAATGGAACAGGATATATATATATATATATATATATATATATATATATATATATATATATATATACTCCCAGGTTTGTACAATGAAAAAAACAAACATTCCCATTATTATTTCAATTAGATTCCTCAACGAGTTTCGGCTAGTATGCCCATCATCAGGAGAAAAAAAATCTGCTTGTTAGTAGCGGTGAACTACAGGAATGAATTATATATATATATATATATATATATATATATATATATATATATATATATATATATATATATTATAAATTAATTTTTAAAATATGGTTAAAACCATATTTTAAATCAATTAATTTATAATATTAATGTCTCTTTACATTGAGCACTATTTTGTAAAAATAAAAAAATATATCTATAAGAACACCGGATTATATATCTTACTGTTCTTTCCTTTTATATATATATATATATATATATATATATATATATAAAATATATCAACACGTGTATATATATAGTGGTTACACGTGTTTAAGTATTTTAAATATTTGTATTTTAAGATAAAATAAGGGAAATTAATGTATATCAGCCTAAAGATCGAGAATTCCTACTAAATGTGTCTGTCAATGCGAAGTGAATTTGTCTTCGATGTATCATTTAGATTTCGAAAAATCCTAACAAGCGATGTGTATTTCTTAATGAGTGAATTGCTTTAGCAGCATTTTCAGTCTCTTGGCAGACATAAATTAATTTCACTGACAAAATAGGGATGTATACTCAAGAAACAAGATACACTTCGGTTGTTTTAATCCGGTTGTTTTTACATTGGAAATGGTGTTTAAATACAAATCGA